CACATTATCTATAGATGACCCTAAAAAGAATTGTCTTCTTGCCCTCTGAAGTCCCAGACCACTACCCACCCCCAACACCTTCCTCGCCTTTAGCTACAATACTTAAGCAAGCAGCTTAGACAGAGGGATGAGTTGCTCATTTCTGAGTTTCTCCCATGTATACATGTTATTAAACTTGGTATTCTTTTCTCCTGCTAACCTGTCTTGTTGATTATTTGGCCAGCCATAAGAACCTTAAGGGAAAGGGCAGAGGGGGATTCTCCCTCTCTCCCTACACTAGACATCCCATGTAAGAAAGCTAGAAGGAAAATAACAGGAACCAGCCTAAGAAGGCTGCCTGACAGAGCACAGGAAGCCCCAGGGTACATGACCAGGTGCAAAATAATAGAAAATATACACACACACACACACACACACGTTCCTGCCTCTGGTTCCTGGCACAGAGCTCCTAAAATCCTTGGAATTTTCCTGGGTGAGGACTGTCTTTTGTTCTAATGAGGTGATTCTTGGTGGGCTCCTGAATAGAGACTGGTCACAGAAAGACCAAGACATGATTAGAAGTTTGGAACTTTCAGCCCCACTCTCCATTCTCCAGAGAGGGGCTGGAAATTGAGTTAATGACTGATCATGTCGACGCAATGAAGCCTCCATAAAAACTCCAAAGTACGAGTGGGTAGCCTCTGGGTTGGTGAACACATAGAGGTGCCAGGAGAGTGGTGCACTCAGAGAGGGCGTGGAAGCTCCGCGCTCCTTCCCACATACCTTGCCCTATGCATCTCTTCCATCTGGATGTTCATCTGTATCCTTTATCCTATCCTTCCATGATAAATGGATAAACAGTAAGGAAAGTGTTTTCCTAAATTCTGTGAGCCGTCCAAGCAGATGAACTGAACCTAAGGAGAGGGTCGTGGGAAGCCCAATTTACAGCTGTACAGGTGACAACCCAGGACTTGAGATTGGCATCTGAAGTGGGGGAAGGGCAGTGTGCGGGACTGAGCCCTTAACTTGTGGGATCTGACACTAACTCCAGGTAGATAGTGTCAGAATTGAATCGAATTATAGGACACCCAGCTGATATTGCAGAGAATTGCTTGGTGTGGGGAAAACCCCCACACATCTTGTGTCAGAAGTGTTCTGAGTGTGGCAGCAGTGTGAGCAGTAAAGGAGAGACACAGAGGAGAAGTGAGTCTTTTCCTACTCACCAGGACATACACTTAGGACAGGAGCATCCATCTATCCTAGCATTTAGGAAAGCAAACATTTTTAAAAGCTAAAATTGGAAATGACTCAAATGTTCATGAACTGCTGAATGGGTAAACAAATTGTACATCACATACACAGAAAACTACTTGGCAATAAAAAAGGAATAAACTACTGATACAAGCAATAGTAAGAATGAATTTCAAAAGCATTATGCTGAGTGAAAGAAGCCAGACACAAGACTACATACTATATGATTCCTAATGAATATCTAGAAAAGGCAAAACTATACTGAAAGTAAGCAGATCAGTAGTGGCCTGGGGCTGAGATAAGAGACTGACCAAAGTGGGGCACAAGGGTACTCTTTAGGGTGATGGAGATGTTGTATAACATGATTGTGGTGGTGATGAAGTAATTGTAACATTTGTCAAAATTCATCAAATTGTAAGCGTATGCTTCAAAAAAACAGAGATATGTATAACTTGATATCTTGAGGCTTTAAAAAGCAAGATAACTCAAGAAAATTGAAAAGCACCTACTTAAAAGAATCCTGATCCCCCTCCAAAATCATTACCGATAAGAAAAACATCAAGAGGTACATAAGGAAATATGAATTACTGTGGCCTCAGCTTTCCTGTAATTCAAATGATGACAGGGCAAGTACAGAATAATAAAGGACATACAACAAAAGATGACTGCAAGAGAAACATCAAGAAAGTAATGGTAATTAGGATTTAAAATTACATGAACAATCAGATCCAATTAATACCAAATAACGAATGTATGTTAAGATAAGGTGAAGCTTCTAATGGTACCCTACCAAAGTTCTGTTTGGCCCTATTCTGTTCAATATTTATCCAAATTAAGAATGAAGGTACAGAAAGAATGCTTATTTAACCTATATATGATACAAAACCAAAATAAGTGTTCTAAAAGGATCAATACACTAAAAAGATGAACTGTATCTAACAGGGTAAATTTCATAAGGATAAACATTAGGCTCAAAAGAATCAAGTGCAAAGATATGGATCAGAAAATCTGAGCCTAAAAGCATTTCATATAATAATAGCCAAGACTTATCAAGCACTTGATGCACTGGTCAGAGCAACTTACATATATTCATTCATTCAACAAGTTATCTACCGAACACCAACTACATGCCAGTCACTAAGCATCACAGATATACCAGCGAAGAAACAGACATGAAGCTTACATTGCAGTGGTGGAAGACAGACAAAAACCAAAATGAATAACTAATAAAGTAAATGAAATGGATAAAATAAAGCAGAAAAGTTACGGGGATCCTGTGCATATGTATGATTATTAAATAGGTAAGAAATAGGATGCCTTCACTGTGATGGCAACATTTGAGCAAAGACTTGAAATAGGTGAGGTAATGAATCCTACAGATACCTGCAGGAAGATTGTTCCAGGCCGTATGTGCAAAGCTTTTGAGGTGAAGTGTGCCTACCATGGGCAATATGAAGAAGGCTAGTGTGGCTGGAGCAGAGTAAAACAGAAAAAGGAGACAGTCAGAAAAGCAACAGGGTGAAAAAAGATAAAGATAGTGAAGGGCCTTGCAGGCCATCAAGGAGTCTCTGGCTTTTACTCAGAGTAACGTGGGAAGCCATTGGAGATTTCTGAGCAGAGGTATGGCCTGATGTGACTTACACTTTAAAATGACTATTCTGATCACTTCTAGATACATTTAGAAAGTGAAGCCACTTTATTTGTTGATGGATTAAGATATGAGGTGTGAAAGAGAGGACTAAAGGATTAACTTCAAGATTTCTAACTTGACCAACGAAAAAAGGAAGAGCTTCTACTAACTGAGATGAAGAAGACTGCAGGAAGAACAGATTTAGCGGCTAAGATGCAGATATTTTAGTTTTGAATTGTCTATTAAATATCCAAAAGGAAATATGGTGCATGTAATTGGTAAGTCTAAAGTTCTGGAATATGTCTAGGCTAGATACACAAATGTTGAAAGTTGTCAGAGTACAGGTAGTGTGTAAAGCCACAAGACTAAAAGAGATCACCAAAAGAGTAAAGGGAGACAGAGGATAAGTCCAAGATCTGAGCACTAGGGTACTCCAATAATTAAAAAGGTCACCAGAAAGACGAGAAGAAACTGTAACTCTCTGGGTATTCACATATTTAATCCTCACTGATATAAGTTATTATTCCTATTTTATAGTTGAGGTAGCTGCAATTGGCCAGAGATGTCATAGCTAAAAAATGCAGAATCAGGGTTCAAACCTAGGAAATCTGGCCTCAACGCCTTCTGATGCAATATCCTCCATTTCTTCTCTACAAGACATGGGTTTTTAGAGCACTTCATACTCTGCATAAATCAACAGTATATATTACTGTCGAAAAAGCTAATGGAATCTCAGGCTACATAAAGAAATGGATGATGTCAAAACAAAAGGAGGTATTACTCTAACTGTATTTAGCACCTTTTAGACCTCATCTGAAGACCTGTACTATATTCTGCCTGGCACACTTTAAATACATGTAGTAGGTGCTCAACAAAGGTTAGTTATCATTACTATCATTATCACAGATGCACACACAGTAGCTGGTCCACAAATCTCTGGAAGTCGCTGTCAGCAATGTCATGCTGTTTTCCCAAACGGAGCAAAAGGGCACCGATTGAGTAAATTAAGTTTCTTCTCTTAAATCTAAATATTAGTTTTTCCATAGCTTTTACTGGCAGTCAGCTAGACCAGTCAACCATCTTGAGGGCAGGAGAAAAAACTACATATATCTTAATCATCATTTGACTTAGGGCACAAGGCTTGTAAGTATATCATTTTAAAGCATCAATTTTAAAAACAATAAACTAATACTGTTTCATGGTATAAGAAATACATCTAGCCATATTCTAGCTGTACCTGTCTACACCAGCACTATCCAACAGAACTTTCTGTATTGATGGGAAGCTTCAGTGGAAACGCTCTGTATTTGCGCTGTCCATTACAGCACACACAAACCTTAGATGCCGCCGAGCACTTGAAATGCAGCTAGTGCGACTGAGGAACTGGATTTTTAATTCTATTTAAGTTAATTTAAATAGCCACATATAGCTAATGGCTACCGTATTAGACCACGCAGTTCTTGATTAAGATCTAGATTAAGACCCAGCTTTCCAGGACCAGAATCCACGGATATTTGCCTGCAGCTATAAAATTAATAATAAAGATAAAATCACATACAAAAACAAAAGTACAGAATTTGGGGGAGCATCAAAATATTGGCAGGCTTAGCAATGACTGTCCCTTTTCTTCCACTCACCCTCCCTTTTTTAGGGTTACTGAGTCTCATACCCTTGCAGTGGTCTTTTGTTTACTTGTTTGCTTTTTAATTACTGCCAGCGTTTTGGGAACATTACGTGCTAAGTTAATTTAACAGTTATCTGTCTGTCTCCTGCCCAACACAAACACACACACACACACACACACACTCCTCCGGGAACCCAAGCTAGAGAACGAATATACATTGTGTGTTTCGTTCCTTCTGTCTCAAATCCCACTCCCCCGAAGCCTGGACTGACAGCTGGTCTTTGGAGGCGTGACCCTCCAAGGACACCTTTCCCGCGGGGCTCCTCGAGGAGGGGCTCAGGGGTGTGGAAGGGCGGTTGGAGATTCCGTGGAGAAACGGAAGAGCCACCCCCGGGAGCCCATGTGTGGGTGTGTTCAGGCGAGGCAAGGACCCGGGCACAGCCACGAGGGCAGGATCCGGGGGATCCGCATACGCACAAGAGGAAGGAACAGGTGCCCAGGCAGGCCCCAGGTTACCTGCACATCCCCGGGGAAATAGAGAACGTGATGCTGGGGCGGCGGCTGCCGCTCCTCCCGCCGCTCCGGTCCCTCCCCCGCCGCCGCCGCCGCCGCCAGCAGGAGCAACTCGTTGCTGCGCTGCGGGTCGGCTCCCGGCACCGTGGGCAGCTGCAGGCACGGCGGCCGGCGCCCCTCGGCCGAGGCGGCGCATCGCGCACCGCTGCTGCCGCCCAGGTTCATGGCTGCGGCCTGAGAGCGGGACGCGGCGGCGCCGATTCCGAGCTGCGGCAGCAGGAGCAACAGCGGCGGCGACCGCAGGAGCCTGAACCCCCACATGGGTCGCCGCCGCCAGAACGGTTCCGAGGGGTGGGGAGGTCCTGAGGGAGGGACTTCGGCCCGGCGGCCAACGGTCGGTGGGAGCGGCCGGGCGGGACTCGGTGCAGGGGCGACGGCGGCGTCAGAGGCCGACGTCCGCGCGCAGCGTGCGTAACGGAGGAGGGGTGTGCGCCCGGAGACGGCGCTGGGGGGGCGTGGCCCGAGGAAGGACGTTTGTGATTGGTGGGTTCTGCTGCGGCGGGAAGTTCGAACGGAAGTCTGGGAAAGAGCAGGAGAGAGAAAGAAAAGAGAATAAAGGAACCAAGAGCTCAGAACCAGCGGCCCGGCAGTTGTGGCGCATGCGCAGCAGCAAGGGTGGCCTGAAGGTCGCAGTCCAGTAATCTAGCAGAGAGTTTTTGTTTGTTTGTTTGTTTTTGTGAGGAAGATCAGCCCTGAGCTAACATCCATGCCAATCCTCCTCTTTTTGCTGAGGAAGACCAGCCCTAAGCTAACATCTATTGCCAATCCTCCTTTTTTTCCCTTTTTCTCCCCAAAGCCCCAGTAGATAGTTGTACGTCATAGTTGCACATCCTTCTAGTTGCTGTATGTGGGACGTGGCCTCAGCATGGCCGGACAAGCCGCCCCTCGGTGCGGCGCCCGGGATCCCAACCCGGGCCGCCAGTAGCGGAGACTGCGTACTTAACCGCTAAGCCGCTGGCCGCCCGGGCAGAGAGTTTTGAGTATACCATGCTCCCGTGTCGGTAGGCTCACCTTTCAGGTGAGGTTTGTCTCCTCCTTCTAGCCTTAAAAGGGACACAGTCCCAAAGATATAAATAGAGTAATTCTGTCCTGTAGAGAAATCTGTGGGGAGTCTTCTACATGCCCAGGCTGAAGGGAATCTCCTTCTTCTCATACCCTCAAGTTTCCTTTGTAGATGTAGGAAGATTTCTAGGGTCATGGGGAATTTATGGTTAGGTCTGAAGTCTAATGCATCTCTGATTGGTAGCGGAGCAGGGCACATGGACAGGGACAGGAAAAACGGGAGCGAAGCGTTAGTTGTCGCACATTTGCTGTCGGTGGTGTTTGCAGCCAACAGGATTTGCTGTTTTAGGGTTTTCAAACACCAGTTTGAACAGTAGGAAAGTCATGGGTGTCCAACAACCATCCGTGGCCGGTTGTGTAAGAATAAGATTGGCCAAATGTATGCTAAAGACCGGGAACGCGGGGGGAGGTCCAGGATTCTAAACTCAAATTGCTTCAGTTGTGCGAAGACTTGCAAGGTGTTCTTGTGGGAGAATCTTGTAGGAGAGAATATTAGTGAGAATTATAAAAATTATGGCCAACATTGATTGACACCTTACTCTAGGCCAAGAATCCAACTAAGCACTTCATGTATTAACTGTTCCGAGTCTACATATGTGTGTGTTTAAGCACACACACTGTTTTCTTTCTCTGCATATCAAATATTAACAAATAGCCTTAAATTAAGAACACAAATGAGCATGGCCCCATGGCTTAGCGGTTAAGTGCACGCGCTCCACTGCTGGCAGCCGGGGTTTGTATCCCCGGCGTGCACCGACGCACTGCTTCTCCGGACATGCTGAGGCCGCATCCCACATACAGCAACTAGAAGGACGTGCAGCTATGACATACAACTATCTACTGGGGCTTTGGGGGGGGAGGGAGGAACAGAAATGAGCAAATGATGAAATATAATTTTCTTGTATATACTTATATGTTTTTAGTGACTTCATAGAGGTATAATATGCTAACCTACTCTGGTCTAAATTGTTAGGTTCCATCTGACATCATACTAGTGTAACCAATCAAAAATTATTATTACTAAGTAGATCTGCTGCTTTCTAAAAATAACTGGTTACAAAGAAGCAGAAGCTAATTATATAATAATGAATCTATAACCATATTGAGGCAACCAGCCTTCACTCTATTTTGTGAATCACATACATATTGTTACTTTCTCTTATTAGGTAGAGGATTGCTGAAATGTAATCCAAAAGCCCAAACATATACATGTACTCCAAAGGCAGCTTTTGATTTTTGTGGTCTTGTTTTTAGGTTGACCTTTTAATTGAATCTGTCAGTACTGAAGGGGATGGGGAATTCTTGTGTTTTAGAAAGAAAATTAATGGTAGTAAACATTAAATACTACAAAGTTGTCTCAGTATATCTAAGATAAGTGAGGTCTTTGAGAAATACAAATAAATATTTAAAGAAACTGAGTAAAATAAGCACAAGGTTTTTTCCCCACAGTCAAGGATTTACACAACCCTACAAGAGCCACTTCGGAGAAAGTAACAGCTCTCAATTCATCAGTTGAGGTAAGTATATCATTTATGGTAAGTCATTGACACAGTAATTCCTTCTCATAGGTCTCATTAATATTACTGTAATATCTGTTTTCTCTCTCCATCCCCTCTTCCTTTTTCCAGGAAGACCACCTTTGTAAATCATTACTTTTCTAACAACCATAGGTTCAGACAGCTGAGCACTTTCCCCCTTTATTGTCTCATAGAGCTGGGCTTTCCTTCCCTGCAAGAGGTCTTACATATACAAAGTGACTGCAACCAGTCGTTTGAGTTTACCCCTCCTTTCTAACAGACAGGGATCTCCACAGGGATTTTATTATGCTTATAGTGCCCAAAAGGCTACAGCTCATCTCTGGACTCTTGACAGTGCTCAGGGGATCCTGTGGGGCTCTCAGAACTTTTGTTAAACTACTAAATGTAATAAATATGAAGAGTTGAAAAATTGGAAGGAATCTGAGAAAGGCTAATTACACTAGAAAGGACAGCATTAAAAGGTCCCAAACTCCAATATCTAGAGACTAGGCCTATATCATAAATAGTAAAATTGGCCATATGTAGTACAACAGGGACTAGTAGACTGTAGCAAACTAGAGGGACATGTCATATTTGAAGGAGGCAATCACTATTCACTACCAGCCAGTTGTAAAATGAAGGCAACATTTTGTCAAACTTTCAAATTTTTCAAGGGGAATCAGATACACAAATTTTTATGTGTCATTTCCCAATTTATAAATGTTGACAACTAATTAAATTTTTTTTAAACATTGTATCAAATGCATGCATAGGCCATATTTGGCCTATGAACCACAAATGTGCAATTTCTCTACTAAAAGGTAAAATAAATGGATACTATACAGCAGAGAATGGGGAAAAAAAGACAGACGACCTTAAATGTGGGTCCCTGTGGGAGACTGAGTAGGAAAGGAATAGGGAAAAAAGATTTTAAGAAGCTTTTTCATGAGATTTGAATTGGATCCCATTTGATATTCTTTGAGAGATTCCAACAAATGTTTTATTTCTTTTCAGTTTTTCTTGGTTTTGGACAGGGTTTTTTTGTATTTTAATTAGCCTCTGTACCAAAACTGGACATTGAGAGAAGTGGGCCTCATATGAGGTATGCAACTCTAGAATATAATTTTGCCCCCAAAATGCCTGATAAAACAGGATTGGAGAACAAATTCATCTGGGGATTTGAAAGCTTATTGTTTGACTGGTCTCACTAGGTAAGTGACACCCTTTATACTGCTCTTATAGCATATGATTTAAGCACAGCCTTCAGCAAAATACAATCACTACATGTTAAGACCTTATGAATTATTTTTAACACTTGAATCCTCAAATGCAATGATTTAGCTGACTGCATTTGCGTGCATTGAACTTTACCCACTATTAAAAGGATAGGAAAATCATTTAAAAACTTAATAAATCCTCAACAAAATACTAGCAAGACAAATCCAGCAACATAAAAAAAGAATTATACACCACAACAAAGTAGGATTTATCCTAGGAATGCAAGGTTGGTTTCACATCTGAAGATCAATTAACATTATACACCATATCAATAGAATAAAAAGTAAAAATGACATGATCATCTTAATAGACACAGAAAAGGCATTTGACAAAATCCAACACCATTTAATGATAAAAAAAAAAAAAAGAGAGAAAAACAATACTCAACGAACTCGGAGTAGAAGGGACTTGCTCAACCTAATAAAGGACATCTATGAAAAACCCATAGCTACCATTATACTTAATGGTGAGAGACTGAATGTTTGCTCCCTAAGAACAGGAACAACATAAAGATGTCTACTCTTGCCACTTCCAATCAACGTTGTACTGGAGGTTCTAGCCAGGGCAATTAGGCAAGACAAAGAAACAAAAGACATTCAGATTGGAAGGAAGAAGTAAAACCAGGCAGATGACATGATCTTATATAGGAAAAATCTTAAGGAATCTGCTAAAAACTATTAGAAATAAATGAGTTCAGCAAGGTTGCAGGATACAAGATCAGTATACAACAATCAATTGTATTTCTATGCATTAGCAGTGAACAATCTAAAAATGAAATTAAGAAAAACAATTCCATTTACAATAGCGTCAAAAAGAATAAAATACTTAGGAATAAATTTAATGAAAGAAGTGAAGAACTTGTATACTGAAAGCTACAAAACATTCTTGAAAGAAATTTAAAAAGACCTAAATAAATGGAAAGACATCCCATGTTTGTAGATCAGAAGACTTAATGTTGTTACGATGACAATGCTCTTCCAATTGATCTGCAGATTCAACACAATCCCTGTCAAAATCCCAGCTGCATTTTTTGTTTAAATGTACAAGTTGATCCTAAAATGAATGTGGAAATTAAAATGACCCAGAATAGCCAAAACAATCTTGAAAAATGATGATCAAAGTTGGAGGACTCATAATTCCCCCATTTCAAAACTTACTACAAAGCTGCAGTAATCAGGACAGTGTTGTACTGGCATAAGGGTAGATATATAGAACAATGGAATCAAATTGAGAGTCCAGAAATGAACCTTAAATTTATGGTCAGTTGATTTTCAACAAGGGTGCCAAGATAAATCAATGGAGAAAGAAGTCTTTTCAACAGTGGTGCTGAGGCAACTGGGTAGCTACATGCAAAAGAATGAAGTTAGACCCCTTCCTTACACCACACATAAAAACTAACTCAACATGGATCATAGACCTAAATGTATGAGCTAAAACTATAAAACTCTTAGGAAAAAAATAGGAGTAAATCTTCTCAATCTTGCATTAGCCAAAGCCTTCTTGGATATGATCAAAAGCAAAAGAGTCAAAAGAAAAAATAGACAAGTTGGACTTCATCTAAACAAAAAAACTTTTGATGGTTCAAAAGAAAGTGAGAAAACGACCCATAGAATGGGAGAAAATATTTGGAAGTCACATATCTGTTAAGGGACTTATATCCAAAATATATAAATAATTCTTACCATTCAGCCATAAAAAGGCAAATAACCCAATTTAAAAAATGGGAAAAGGATCTGAATAGATATTTCACAGAAGATATACAAATGGACAATAAGAACATGAAAGATACTCAACATCATTAGCCCCTAGGGAAATGCAGATCAAAACCACAAGAGATACCACTTCACACCCACTGGGATGGCTATAATAAAAAAATACAAATAATAACTAGTGTTGGTGACAATGTAGACAAGTTGGAACCCTTGTGCTTTGCTGGTAGAAATGGTGCAGCTGATTAGAAAACAGTTTAACAGTTTTTCAAAATGTTAAATATAGATTTGTCATATAACCAGAAATTCTACTCCTAATATACTCAAGAGAAATGAAAACATATATCCACACAAAAACTTGTTTACAAATGTTCATAGTAGCATTATTCATAATAGCCAAAAAGTGGAAACACTCAAATGTCCATTAACTGATGCATGAATAAATAAAATGTGATATGTCCGTACAATGAAGTATTATTCAGTAATAAAAGGAGTGAAGTACTGATACATGCTGTAACATTCGAAAAAACTATGCTAAGTGGAAAATGCTAGTCACAAAAGATCAAATATTATATGAGTTCATTTATACGAAGTGTCTGGAAATAGCACATCTATAGACACAGAAATTAGATGAGTGGTTGCATAGGGCTGGGGAGGAGAAAGACTAATTAAAAACTAGGCTCTAAGTCCAGCCCACACTCAAAGGGAGGAGAAATAGGCTCTACTTTTTGAAAGGAGGAGTGTCAAAACTTTTGCGGATATATTTTAAAACAACAAGACCCAGCTTTCACTCCAGATACAATAGAATTTAGAGATCTTTGAATTTAAGCACAAGGGGAATAAAATAAGAGATGAAGTAGCCTTGACTAAGACATTATTTATAAAACAAACATAAGATGACTCTGAAAGGTGGAAAAAAAGAAAGCAGACAGGCTAGGGACCTTGGGAGTCAAGGAACAACAAAGTGGTGATTACCCTGGGTTTTCTTTTTGCTTTGTAAATTGCAGAATTGAAGCCAAAGATGCCAGCAACTCAGAAACTCCAATAGGCACAGACAATAAAGTCTCAAGAAAAGACCACTCTCTCTAAACAAAGCACCAGGAAAAGGGGAAGCCTGGCAACATAGAAAACGTATAGAAAATAACTGTTCTGCTCCAGCCAAATATGACAGAAAAATCTAGTCCCACCGAACAAGCAAAGATTGAGTGGGGAGCCTAGACTTCCACCCTCAGGTTATAACGAGGTGCCTTGATACCCCTGCCAGAGTGGTGTCAGAGAAGGCCAAGTAGAGAGCCTGGAATTTCATCTCCATCACCAGTAACAAGCCTTCTCCTCCCCGCACAGTGTTGGTGGATATCATAAGAAGAGTCAGGACTTCCTCCATTGCCCAGCAAAATAATGAGGCCATCCCTACCACAGTGTCATTATAGAACAGGTGAGAAGCCAGAACATCTATCTCCACCCAGCAATAATAAGGAGCCCTACCCTCCTATTCAGTGTCAAAATAGGCCAAGTGGAGAATCTGGACTTCTACCTCTACCTGGCAGTAAGAAGATAGCCACCTTTCTCCCCTGCTGGAGTAGTATCAGAGACAACACGGTAAAAGCTAAGGTTTATATGAGATGTAGAGTCATATAACATAATATGAAAAATTCCAGATTTCACTTGAAAACCACTTGTCATACCAAGAATGAGGTAAATCTCAAACTGGATGAAAAAAGACAACCAATAGATACCAACAGTGAGATGTCAGAGATATTAGAATTATCTATCAAATATTTTAAAGCAGCAATGATAAAAATGCTTCAACAAGCAATTACAAACACACTTGAAACAAAAATAGAAAGCCTCAACAAAGAGAGAGAAAGTCTCAACAATGAGATAGAAGATATAAAGAAGAGCCTAAATAAAAAACATAGTGGTTGGTGGGGCTGGCCCTGTGGCGTAGTGATTAAGTTCAGCGTGCTCTGCTTAGGCAGCCCGAGCTTGAGAGTTTGGATCCCAGCTGTGGAC